TAGGACATTTCAGTCCAGTGTCAAAAAGCAAGCTATCCTCTTGTTCAGGGGTCTTCAAACCTGGCCCTTTGATGACTTGTGGACTTCAACTCCCAGAATTCCTTGTGTGCCTGGCTGAGGAATTCTGGGAGTTGAAGTCCACAAGTCATCAAAGGGCCAGATTTGAAGACCCCCTGCTCTCACTAAACCTCCCCAGTTCAGCAAAGCCAGGCTTTCCAGCCCAAAGAGCTCCAGTGGAAACCAACCCTTGCTACGACTCTATGAGAACGGTTAAGAAACTAAGCTCTTATTTTGCCTAGAATACAGAATAACAGAGTTGGAAGGGACCCTAGAGGTCTTCTAGTCCAACCCATCACTGGAGCGCTCCATCACTGGAGATTTTAAAGAAGAGACTAGACATTCACTGTGAGAGATGGTATAGGTTCTCCTGCTTGAGCAGGGGGCTGGACTAGAAGACCTCCAAGATTCTATTTTATTACTCTATTCTATTCTATTCTATTCTGTTCTGTTCTGTTCTGTATTTCTATTCTATCCCATTCCATTCCATTTTGTATTTCTATTCTATTCTATTCTTTATTTCTATTCCATTCCATTCCATTCTGTATTTCTATTCTATTCTGTTCTGTATTTCTATTCTATTCCATTCCATTCCATTTTGTATTTCTATTCTATTCTATTCTATATTTCTATTCTATTCCATTCCATTCCATTCCATTCTCTATGTCTATTCTATTCTATTCTATTCTATTCTATTCTATTCTATTCTATTCTATTCTATTCTATTCTGTTCTAACCAAATAGAGCCCTATGCATCAAAAATGACCAGGTGACCCCCCCCCAGCACTCTATTACAATTTTTGGTTTAAATTCCAATTTTCTGGCTGAGCTCCTGTCATTGCCCGCCCCTCCCCATTTAGAAGCACCAGAAATGCATCAACAGCAGAAAACCGCCCCAATGTTTGATTGACAGCCCCCCACCCACTCCCTCAGGATATTGGGGACCCCCCCACAGTGATGAGGCCTGTATATTCCCCCCCCCGACCCCCTCGGTCAGGGAGGCTCTTTGAGTGATGTGGAGCCAGTCCCTCTCCACCCGGCCTACCTCGCAGGGTTGTCGTCATGGGAAAGAGAGCCAGGGGCGCTACTTGGGGGTCTGGAGCCCCCAGAGTGGGCTAAATCGAACCAAATAGAGCCCCGTGCATCAAAAACGACCAGGTGCCCCCCCCCAAAAGCACCCAATTACGATTTTGGGGGTTTAAATTCTAATTTTCTGGCTGACTCATTCATTGCCCCCCCTCCCCATTTAGAAGCATCCATAGGAGAAAACCGCCCCCAGATTTGATTGACAGCCCCCCCACCCACTCCCTCAGGAGATTGGGGACCCCCCCAGCGACGAGGCCTGAGGGAGGGGGCTTCCCTGCGGTCCGTCAGGGCCCCGAGGCCTCCTCAGGGCCCCCCCGGTTTGGGGGTCCCCCTCAGACCTCCCCCCCTTAAGGTCGGGGTCACGGGCTTCCTCCCCCGCCCTCTGGGAAGCCGCGACCCTCCCTCAAGAGCCCCCCGGCGCCCCCCCTCACCTCCGGGTCGCCGATGCGCCTCCTCGCCGACATCCTGCCCAACTGTCAGCCTCGCCTACGGCCCGCCTCTCCGCCCGGCTCGCGGCGTTTCCCTCCCCCGGCCTAGCCAATCGGCGCCGGGCTTCAGACTATCCCTCCGCTCCGATTGGCTGCGCCCCGCGCCAATCCGCGCTCTCTCCCCGTCCTCTGAGCGTTGTTGCCAAGTCGGACGCCCCCCCCCCCAACGCCGCGGATTTTAAAAGTCCCGGTTCGGCTTTCCCTTTCGCGCGTGCGCCTTGGCGGCCCACGGGCGTCGCTGGTTTCCCCGGGCGACGAGAGACGCCTCCGCGCGTCTTTTTTTTTTTTTCTTTCTTTCTTTCCCCTTCCTTTCCGAGCGCCGCTGAGGCGGGATTGTGACGTAAGCAGAGGGGCTTTGGCTTCTTCACCGCGGTGTCCTTCCGCTGAAGGGGGGTCTGCGCGGGAGGGGCGGGGCTTTTGGGAGAGAAGTAGTGCCTTTGTTTCAACGCGCGTTCTGAGGCGTGTTTTCCTCCTTTCTGCGCGCACACGTGTTTTGTGGGGTGCAGCTCCCCTACGTGGGTGCATTCAACTGAACTCAGAGGACCTTGATGTTTTTCCCTTGATGCCCTCCATCTGTATTGGCTGCTCGTTCTGGCATCTGGAATCCCAAACCATCTGAGGATATATGTGGTTGTGTGAATGCAGCCAAGTTTCCCCCTTCCCCCCCCCAGCTTACCATCCCCATCCAGGGCGTGGGACTCATCTTCAACCCGAAATATTAACATTAAATTCCAAATCACTTCTGGTTTTTCATTCATAAATCACAAACCGTGCCTTCCAGACGACCCTCCCAATGAAGAGCAATTGTGTACAGAAACATCTCAGCTTCCACAGGCTGTTTTTCTCTTTGAATGGATCCCACTGTTTCATATGCAATTATAGGTTTTGAAGAAATTAAGCTCTAATGGGTTGCATTCACAAAACAAATTTGATCCGGTACCGAAAAGAGGAAAAAAAGCATTATTCTATTCCATTCCATTCCATATTTTCTATTCTATTCTATTCTAATTTCTATTCTATTCTAATTTCTATTCTATTCTATTCTTTTTATTATTCTCTTCTATATTTCATTATACTGTTCTGTTCTATTTCTTATTCTATTTTTTATTATTCTATTCTATTCTATTCTATTCTATTCTATTCTATATCTGTGCCGGTTGCCAAATGCCTAAATTTGGGTCACACGGCTGTGAGGATGCTGTGATGGTTGTAAGTACGTGCGCCTGTGTGTGTGTGTTTGTGTGATTACGTCACTATTTTCAGTGCTGTTATAACTTTGACCGGTTGCTTAATGATTGGCTGTAACTGGAGGATGACCTGTATGCTGGATTTGCATTCAAAGACCCCTAAACTGACCTACAAATTTGATTTTATGCAGCCAAGTAGACTTCAAGCTGATGGGGGCAATAAAAGCCACAGGCGCAATGTCACCATCCATCACGTCCTGAGAAATCTGGTCAGGATAAATTGAAAGAATGACCCAACAGGACACAAATTGAATTGTGTGTGTGTGTGTGTGTCTGTGTATAATTTATGTTAAGATCAATTTAACGAGGGGGCAACTCTTAATATTAGAATTTATTGAGATGGGGGAAGAAAAGAAGGAGGGAGGGAAGAATGAAGGAAGGAGAGAGAAAGGAAGAAAGAAGAGAAAGAAATAAGAACAAGGAAGGAGAGAAAGGAGAGGAAGGGAGGGAGGGAGAGGAAAGCAGAAAGAAACAAGGAAATAAAGGGAGGGAGGGAAGGAAGGAAGGAAGGAAGGAAGGAAGAGAAGGAAGGAGGAAGGAAGGGGGAGAAAGAAAGAAACGAAGAAGAGGAAAGAAAGGAAGCAAGAAGGAAAGAAGAAAGATGGAGGGGAGGAAAGAAAGAAAAAAGAAAGGAGGGAGAAAGATAGAAAAAGAAGGAAGGGGGAAGAGGAGAAAGAAAGGGAAGAAAGAAAAGGAAAAATATGGAAGGCGGGAGGAAAGAAAGAAAAAGAAAGGAGGGAGGGAGAAAGATACAAAAAGGAGGGAAGGAGAGAGAGAAGGAAGAAAGGACAAAGAGAAAAAAGAAAAAGGAAGGAAGTAACGAAGGAAGGAAGGAAAAAGAGGAAGTGAGGGAGGGACAAAGAAAGGAAAAAGACAGGAAGGAAGGAAGAGGAAGGAAGGAAGGAAGGAAGGACGACCCAGCTCGGCTTCCCCCACTCACCCCAGCCCCTCCCTCCCGCGCTGATTTCAACCCGCTCTGCAGACGCGCGTTCACACGTTTCTTCTGCCCGGCTTGCAAAACTCTCCGCTCCTCCCGTTGCAAACCTCGCATCGCGGAAGCCCCCCCGAAGGGCGGGGCCCAAGAGAGCCCGGGACGCGCATGCGCCTTTGCCCACGCGCCTGCCTGCCTTCTTCCGGACCGTAGCCCAGGTGAGCGAGAGCGCATGTGCGCTCTCCCCAGGACAGGGCTGGTGGGGGGGGGGAGGAGGGTTAGACGCCCCCTGGTGCTTTTCTCTGCAAGGAGGGGGGATCTCGGGTGCGGTGGGGGAGGGGGCTTGGATTTCTTTTTTAGGGTGAAGGAAGGAGAAGACTGATTTTGGGGTGTGTGTGGAACCTTGCAAGCAAACCCCCCAAATGCATTTGCTGGGCAAGAGAAGGGAATGCCCTCTTTGAGGTTGCCCCCAGGAGCTTGACTTAATGGGGGAAAGGGTCCTGTAAGATTGGGGGTTCACTAATAAAGGGGAATGTTTGCAGTTCTGGATTGAACTGTGGGGTCCTTGCAGACATTTCATGACCCAACTAGGCAACCTCATCAGTGGTAGAAGGGAGGGGGGCTGTGGAGAGCAGTAGGAGGAAGAGAAAGGAGAAGGAATAAAGGGAGGGAGGGAGGGAGGGAAGGGGAAGGAGGAAGGAAGGAAGGAAGGAAGAGAGGGAGGACTGTGGGGTCTTTGGTGCTTTCTGGGCTTGGTGGTTTTCTTGCAGACGTTTCATGAACATCATCAGGTAACATCATCAGTGCTAGAAGGAGGGGTTGTGGAGAGCAGTTGGAGGAAAAGAAAGGGAGGGAAGGAAGGAAGGAAGGGGAGGAGGGCTGTGGTGTCCTTGATGCTCTGAGCTTGGTAGTTTCCTTGCAGACGTTTCATGACCCAACTAAGGAACATCATCAGTGCTAGAAGGAAGTGGAGTGATATCAATGCAGAGCAATTATATGGACCATATAAGCCAGGGTCTTCCAACTTGGCCCTTGATGACTTGTGGACTTCAACTCCCAGAATTCCTCAGCCAGCCAGGTTGAGGGAAAAGTGAAGTTTCCATGCTGAGCCATGCTGGCTGAGGAATTCTGGGAGTTGAAGTCCACCAGTCATCAAAGAGCCAAGTTGGAAGACCCCTGTCTTAAATCTAACAAACAAAATGGAGGCTGGCTGAGGAATTCTGGGAGTTGAAGTCCACAAGTCTTCAAAGGGCCAAGGTTGAAGACCCCTGAAGTAGGGATTCTAGGCTGATTCCTCTTTTGACTCCACCCCCACTTTTTTCCCTCCTTTATCCTACATGTGGTGGTTGGTTTCTTTTATTTTTATTTTTCCTGGCCTCCCTTCTCCCCTTCCAGGATGAAAGAGTGGTGGATCCAAGTCGGCCTGCTGATGCTGCCCCTGCTTGCCGTTTACCTGCACATCCCGCCTCCGAAGCTGTCTCCCGCTCTGCGTTCCTGGCGCTCCTCGGGGAGCTTCTTCACCTACAAAAGCCAGAACGTCTTTTTCAGAGGTGGCGTAGATACCTTTCCTTCCATAGCCAAGCCTTTTGCCATTTGCTCTACAGGTGGTCCTCGGCTTAACGGCCACAGTCGCTAAGCGAGACAGCTGTTAAGTGAGTTTGGCCCCGTTGGACGACCTTACTTCCCACCGTCATTAAGTGGATCGCTGCAGTTCAGGTTGTTAAGGAAATCTGGCTTTCTCCCTTGACTTTGCTCGTCAAAAGGGATCACGTGATCCGGGGACATTGCCAGTTGCCAGGTGCCTAAATTGTGATCATGGTGAAAAACGGTCATAAATCACTTTTCAGTGCAGTTGTAACTTTGAGCAGTCACTAAACGAAGGATTGTGAGTCGAGGGCCACTTGTAATTGAGTGGAGATGCCCGTTTGATCCAGAAGAGACTTTCGAAAGACCTCAGAATCCAACTTGCTGGCATTTGCTTTTTAAAGCAGCCGTCTCATTTTCCAGCAAAGTTTCTGCCGTTGCGCAGCCCTAAAACTGAGGCAGCTGCTTTAATTGGTTTCCTGAGCCGAGTTAAATTGAAAGTAGCCTGACTATTATTATTATTATTTTTGGGGTCGTTTAGAAAGAGGTGGTTCTTGAAATGTTACGATCCGGAGTCATTTAAGGGCTTGGGGCACAAACAAAGTGGCATCTTATAAAGATGGTCAATGTCAGCTAGTTGAGGCTAGTTTGTGGCTTAATGTCTGGCTAGTTATCCAGCGATATCCTTGGGAGGAAACTCGCCCAGAATTCAAATGATTCTTTTAAACGCAAGGGGCCCTGGCTTCCTTTTTGCAAATTTAAGAGCGTCGTGCTGGGAGTGGGACGTCGGCCAACGGTGTCCCCCAATGTTGGAAAGTTCGACCCGTTCCGACATGCACGCGAGGCCTCATGCAGAGATATTCAGCCTTCAGGAGGCTGCTCTCTTTTTTGCTCCTCTGCTAAGAATAATAATAAATTTTGAGCGGTTCTTCTCTCTTCCCTTAAGATTCCCCCGGCGCCGTCGGGAGTTCAGACATTGTGGTCCTTTTGCACGGCTTCCCAACCTCGAGTTACGATTGGTACAAGGTGAGGAGGTAACGAACATGGTGACGGTGGGGAGGCGGGCTTGCAATGGTAGGAACTAACGGCAACCATCCCTCGCCCCCTTTCTCGCCTCGCCTACAGATTTGGGAAGCGCTGACGCAGCGGTTCCATCGTGTGATCGCGCTGGATTTTGTGGGCTTTGGCTTCAGCGATAAACCTGTGAGTACGTTTTGAAGGACGCTGCGTGGTTTCTTCCTTAATTTCCTTTTTCCAACCAATGTCATTAACATTAACAGAGAGATAGAATCAAGATCACGTGAAGTGTTGATACCACTTTACAAGGCCTTGGTAAGGCCACACCTGGAATACGGCATCCAGTTTTGGTCACCACGATGTAAAAAAGGTGTTGAGACTCTAGAGCAGGGGTCTTCAAACTTGGCCCTTTTAGGACTTGTGGACTTCAACTCCCAGAATCCTCAGCCAGGCATGAAAACCGGCTGGGTGACTTTGGACCAATCACCAGGAGACGGTGAGTTCTAGTCCCGCCTTAGGCATGAAAGCCGGCTGGATAACTTTGGGCCAATCACCAGGAGTTGGTGAATTCTAGTCTTGCTTTAGGCATGAAAGCCAACTGGGTGACTTTGAGCCAATCACCAGGAGATGGTGAATTCTAGTCCCGCCTTAGGCATGAAAACCAGCTGGGTGACTTTGGGCCAATCACCAGGAGACGGTGAGTTCTAGTCCGCCTTAGGCGTGAAAGCCACCTGGGTGACTTTGAGCCAATCACCAGGAGACAGTGAGTTCTAGTCCCGCCTTAGGCATGAAAACCAGCTGGGTGACTTTGGGCCAATCACCAGGAGACGGTGAGTTCTAGTCCGCCTTAGGCGTGAAAACCGCCTGGGTGACTTTGAGCCTGTCACCAGGAGACGGTGAGTTCTAGTCCTGCCTTAGGCATGGAAGCCGGCTGGGTGATTTTGGGCCCAGTCCCTCCTTTTCAGCCTAACCCACCTCACAGGGTTGTTGTGACGAAAATAGGAAGGAAGGAGAGCTGTGTATATTTGCCACTTTGAGTTATTTGTTAAAAATAATAAAGGCGGGATATAAATAAATACAGAAATACCATTACGAAAGCAAAATTGAAAACAGATTTGGGGTGGGAACACAACTTCGGTCCACAGAAGCAAGAGAAAAAGTCTGGCCAGGCATGGGGGCAACTCTGGGGAGGTCAAAAGAGTCAAGATGGCAGCGTGATAGAAGCTGCCAGACTTTACACACAAAGTGTGGGGCCTCGATGTGATCGCTGCTTCCATCTTGACCCGGGCCATCTCTGCTTCACCTGCAGCAGATCTGCAATTGGCTCGGCTGTAACCTGAAAAGTCGGGCTCAGGTAGACATTTGCCACTGAAGGGCTTGATTCGAATTCGGTGCTCACCTCTCTCTATCTCACACGGCAAACAGCGACCTCATGCCTACTCCATCTTCGAACAAGCCAGCATCGTGGAAGCCCTGTTGCGCCACCTGGGACTCCTGAATCAACGGGTCAACCTCCTTTCTCACGACTACGGGGACACCGTGGCGCAAGAACTGCTGTACAGGTGTGTGGACTTAATCATTTCTTGACAAACGACTGGAAGTCCTCGCTGTACACAGTCACAACTGGGAGCAGCGTCGTGCCCGATTTTACGACCGTTTTTTGTCCCGGTTGTTAAGCAAATTGCTCTACAGGTAGTCCTCAAGTTACGAACGTTCCCTTAGCAAATGTTCGGAGTTACGACATCCTCGCCAAAAGTACTTACGACCGGGTCCCAAAGTCATATATGCTACAGCCTCGCAGCGGCCATTCACACTTATGAACGACCGCAGAGAGGCTGCAACATGCTACTTTGGTGCCATACCTGTGACCCCCCCCCCAAATGCCCAGGCTTTATGCTGCTACTTTGTTGTGAGTAGCTGAGTCCAGGGAATCAGAGGAGGAGGAGGAGGGAGGCTCTGATGAGCCTCAGGACTTACAATCTGATGAAGAGCCTGGCCCTCCACTCGTGCTCAGGCTGAGATCCAGCTGTGCGGGGAGGCTGAGTCAGACTCTTGAGGACTCACAGCTGGAAGACATCACAGACGCTAGCAAATGCAGACAGGCAACAAGAGCAGGACAGAGGGAGGCAATGGGTCGGCTCCAAGGGAGGAGGAGAAAGCCTTGAGAAGCCACGCCTGGGGGCTGCATAATAAAAAGGAAAGGTGTGAGCGGTGCTGGTTGCTGAAGGCAAGTCTGTTTGCAAAAGACTCAAGTTTCATGGGATCCTGTTTTGTTCGCCTTGCTTGTGAACAATTCTCCATTTGCATTGTGTTTTGTTTGCCTTTGCTTTTGGGACATTTTGCATACCTGTACCTCATTAATAAAAGGGTTTTTTCTTTTTCCTGCATTTCCAGCCTACTTGTTAAAAGAGGGGTTCGTCCTTGTGAGTTAACAAGGACTCACGTAAGTTGGGACAGAACACCCTTCTCTGCCAAGTCCCAGATTCTCTCACAAGCAGATGCGGCCCTGCCCCGCCACTTGCCGGAGTGCCGAACCCGCACGGATATCGCGAATTGCGCCGCCGCGGAGCTGGAGAGCTTGGTGCCCCACCACCCAGCTTCTCTGCCTTGCCAAAAGCACTCCTCCAAACTGCAAAAGCGGTTTCTTAAAAAAGAAAAAATCTCTTGAATTGGCTTGGCGAGTTACGTTTCGCTGTCCTTTACTCCGCTTTCCTCCGTTTTCAGGTACGAACACAATAAAACCGGATGCATCCCGATCAACAGCCTGTGTCTGTCGAACGGAGGTAAGTGATTTACGGGAGGAATCTCCCGCCACCTCCTGTTGAAAAGTTAACTCGGAACGTAAGGAGGGAATCCACGGGGGAAATCAAACGGTTTGCCTGATGGAGTTGTGGGTTGTGGCTCCATCGCCGGAGGTTTTCAAGACGAGGAAGGAGAGAAGCAACCTACAAATAAGGAGAGATTTCCTGACATTGAGGACAATTAGCCGGTGGAACGACTGGCCTCCACATTGTGGGTGCTCCATCCCTGAAGAGTCAGTTTTCTGAAATCTTATAGGGCTTCCAGCTTGAGCAGGGGGTTGGACTAGAGGACCTCCAAGGCCCCTTCCCAACGTAGGATTTTGTGACTTGTATGTTACGTATGTCTATTCAAGATTAGCATTGTACAACCCTATTAATCAGAAGTGGCCTCCAGAAGTTGTGGGTGCTCCATCCCTGGAGGTTTTCAAGACGAGATTGGACAGCCATTTGTCTGAAATGGTATAAGTTCTCCTGCTTGAGCAGGGGGTTAGACTAGAAGGCCTCCAAGGTCCCTTCCATCTCCATTCGGAATCTTCTATTCTGAATCAAAAACCATTTGCCCAGGATGGTATAAGGCCGTGGTGGCGAACCTATGGCACGGGTGCCAGAGGCGGCACTCAGAGCCCTCTCGGTGGACACGCGCGCCGTCGCCCCAGTCCTAGGCCTTTAGCTGGGTTTTATACAATCTTTTCGCTTTAGGCCTCCACCGCCATGTGCAAAAAAAAAAAAAAGGGTTCAATCAATCAATTTCAACTTCTCGCGGGAAAAAAAAGATCTCGTAAAGTTGGAATTGATTGATTGAACTTTTTAGTCCCACCCAGTCTGCCGATACCACCACAGCCATGTCCACCCAATGGGCCATGCCTACCCAGCACCCAATAATACATGTGTGTTTTAGGTTGCAGTTTGGGCACTCGGTCTCTAAAAGGTTCGCCATCACTGGTATGAGGTCTCCTGCTTTGGGGGTTGGACTAGAAGACCTCAAGGGTCCCTCCCAGCCTTAGGATTCTATGCCATGTAAAACTTAGGAGATGCCTTTTTGATCACTGGCCTGTTTTGGCCAAGTCTCCTGGCACGCTTGATCTCAGCGTAACCCCCTGGATAAAAATTGCGTTCGTGGCGTAGAAGCAAATATCTGACTTCCACATCCTGTCTTAAATTTTTCAGGCATCTTTCCAGAAGTCCATTATCCCAGGTTCATCCAGAAGGTAAAAAATGGTACATTTAAGTTGAAGAATCTCTCTTCTGAAAAATTGGGCTGGGAGATCATTTTTCGCTCCCCTTTTTTTTGGATCAACCCGTGAGCCAACGAATAAATACTCCGTCTGTGTTATGTCTGCTTCAGCTCTGGCAACAAAGATCCTTTCTTGCAATAGCTGGCTTTTATTTATTTATTTTTTTTAAACAAAGCAGATTAAGTAGAAACACCTAGAAGCAGATACTCTGCGTAGGAAGAAAGAAATTAAAGTTGCATTAGGAGTTGGCAAGCTATTTTTTTTACTTCCTGAATATTTTCTCCCAGCTTTTCTTTCACACAAAGGCTGCTTCTTAAAAGATTAAATCGATTCGATTTATTTATACGTTATCCAGGTTGTCCTGGACTTCACTACCACAAAGGAGACCAGACAAGCCGAAGGGAAGCCATATTTACTCAATTGATTCGCTTAACAGCTGTCGTCCAATAGGGCAAAACTCACTTTGCAACCGTCTTGCTTAACAGCAGAAATTTGGCGCTCAATTGTGGTTGTAAGCCGAGGATTACCTGCATATCCTTCCATTCTGAACTGAACCGGTCTCACCAGGAAGGCCTCTGTTTTATGATCTTTCTCTGCTTTGGTATTTGGAGATCCTGAATCTCTTGCAGAAATCACACTGCAGATGAAAGGATCTCCATTTCCACTGCAATAGGGATCTTAAATTTGGAAAGCAAATTTTTTTTCAGCTAGCCCAGGGATAGGCAGCCTTGGCTCTTTTATAACTGGTGGACTTCAACTCCCAGAATTCCTGAGCCAGCCTGGCTCAGCTTGGAAACCTCTCCCTTTCCCCTCAGCATGGCTGGCTCAGGGATTCTGGGAGTTGAAGTCCACCAGTCATAAAGTGGTCTAGGCCTAGGCTTACCTTTGGCCTAGGCCAGGGGTAGGCAACCTTGGCTCTTTTATGACTGGTGGACTTCAACTCCCAGAATTCCTGAGCCAGCATGGCTCAGCTTGGAAACCTCTCCTTTCCCCTCAGTGTGGCTGGCTCAGGAATTCTGGGAGTTGAAGTCCACCAGTCATAAAAGAGCCAAGGTTGCCTACCCCTGCCCTAGGCCTAGGCCACTTATGACTGGTGGACTTCAACTCCCAGAATTCCTGAGCCAGCATGAGGGAAACTTTTCCCCCCCCCCCATGACTTGGGGACTTCAGCTCCCAGAATTCCTCAGCTAGCATGGCTCAGCTTGGAAACCTCTCTTTCCCCTCAGCATGGCTGGCTCAGGAATTCTGGGAGTTGAAGTCCACCAGTCATAAAAGAGCCAAGGTTGCCTACCCCTGCCCTAGGCCTAGGCCACTTTATGACTGGTGGACTTCAACTCCCAGAATTCCTGAGCCAGCATGAGGGAAACTTTTCCCCCCCCCCCATGACTTGGGGACTTCAGCTCCCAGAATTCCTCAGCTAGCATGGCTCAGCTTGGAAACCTCTCTTTCCCCTCAGCATGGCTGGCTCAGGAATTCTGGGAGTTGAAGTCCACCAGTCATAAAAGAGCCAAGGTTGCCTAACCTTGGGGTAGCCACTGATGTGCTTTGCTTCCATTTTGCTGCTGCAAAACTTCCTTTTCTCCTCCTCCTCCCTCCTGCAAACTGTTTGAAGTGTCCCACTGGAACGGGGTCTTTATTTCTTCTTCAGATTCTCAAAGATGGCGCTCTGCTATCGCCCATTCTCACTCGGCTAATGAACTATTTTTTCTTCGCCAAAAGGTGAGTTTTGCATTTTAAACCCTTTAGGTTTGGGTCCGTTCCGAACAGCGTTTCTCAAATTGGGCCACCTGACGAGAGGTGGACTTCAAATCCCTGAATTCCCAAGTCAGTTGGGGAATTCTGGGAGGTGAAGTCCACACATGTTAAGCAGGCTGGCTGGGGAATTCTGGGAGTTGAAGTCCATTTATCTTAAAGCATACTGGCTAGAGAATTCTGGGAGGTGAAATCCAGCCATCTCAAAGCATGCTGGCTAGAGAATTCTGGGAGTTGAAGTCCATTTACCTTAAGGCCAACTGGATAGAGAATTCTGGGAAATGAAGTCCATTTATCTTAAAGCAAGCCAGCTGCGGAATTCTGGGAGGTGAAGTGCACCTATCTTAAAGCCTGCTGGCTAGAGAATTTTGGGAGGTGAAGTCCAGCCATCTTAAAGCAAGCCAGCTGGGGAGTTCTGGGAATTGAAGTCCACACATGTTAAGCAGGCTGGCTGGGGAATTCTGGGAGTTGAAGTCCACGTCTTCAAGTGTTTTAGCATCGAGGTCCTCAAATAATCTTCCCAAGAGTCCTAAAAACTGGATTATATTTAAACCCAAAGAAAGTAATTTGAGTGGGAGAACCGCTCATCAAGAAGGTTAATGGGGGGGGGGGGAACTGTGTGAATCCTTCGGTGCCGATCCATCTCGCCTTGAATCCCTCCAGCCTTGCTGAAGTCTTTGGCCCGTACACCCAGCCTTCAGAGGCTGAATTGTGGGACATGTGGACAGCCCTGCGAACAAATGATGGCAACCTCGTGGCAGACAGGTAGGACATTCCATACCCAAATGCAGTATAGGCAATCCTCCGCTGGTTTGTGGGAAAAAAATGTTGTCAATTGCAGGGCTGGCTGGCTGGGGAATTCTGGGAGTTGAAGTCCATAAGTCTTAAAGTTGCCAAGATTGAAGACCCCCCGGGACAGGGTTTCCTATTTTCGAGCATGGGGTTGGACTAGAACAGTGGTTCTCAATCTTTTTAATGCTGCGACCCCAACCGGTCGTAAGTCGAGGACTGCCCAACCGGTCGTAAGTCGAGGACTACCCAACCGGTCGTAAGTCGAGGACTTTCCCTGCCCGGGAGCACCGCGCATGCGTGGTGTTGCCCCCTGCGCTGGCTGAGGCGTAGCTGGCAAGCGGCAGAGACGGCGCAGGGCAACCACCGGCTGGGCCCCCAGCTGGCCCAGCCCAAGGGAGGTAAGGCACCCGCCGGGCCCCACGCGCGCCAGCAACCCTCCCTGCGCCCGCCGGCCTCCCACCTCCCACCCCTGGCCCTCTTTTCCTTACATTTTACTTACATGCTCAGCAGGGAGGGGTGGAAACTTCCAGACAGCTCGCCTTCGCTGCAGACAACTTGCAGCACCGCTTGCAGAATGGGACTTTTGGCGGGCTCAGCAGGGCAGAGACAACCTGGACCATTCCTATTGGCTTTCAAAAGCCAATAGAATAAAAGGGAGTAGCACAGCTAAGGAAAAGGGGGGGGGGGAAATGGCGGACTGCGTTGTTTGGCGAGCCCGTGAAATGGTCGTTCGACCCCAAATGGGGTCTCGACCCACAGGTTGAGAACCACTGGACTAGAAGACCTCCAAGTCCCTTCCAGCGCCATTCTCCTGTGATTGCTCACCCCTTCAATTTTGCTTTGCAGCCTTTTACAGTATATCAACCAGCGGAAGCAACACCGGGACCGCTGGGTTGGGGCACTGCGATCCACCTCGGTTCCCTGTGAGTAGGAGCAGCTCCTCTGACCTTGGATGGGCTTCTTAAGAGCGGGAAAAGTTTTTTTTAGGACGTTTGTTCTCATTTGGGCCTTGGTGTCAAATGTTGTTGTTGTTGTTCCTGTCTTCCAGTGCATCTGATTTACGGACCCCTGGATCCGGTCAATCCTCACCCGGAATTTCTTCGGCTTTATAAGTAAGCTTGGGGAGGGGGAAGAGGGGGGAGAAGGTCTCCCCATCACACTTCAAGGGCTCGTCCACAAAAAAAATGTGACTTCACCCTTTTTCTTGGTCCAAAGCGAAACGGCGTCTTTGCACATTGGTATAGAGCAGGGGTAGGCAACCTGGGCTCTTTTATGACTCGTGGACTTCAACTCCCAGAATTCCTGAGCCAGCCTGGCTCAGCTTGGAAACCTCTCCCTTTCCCCTCAGTGTGGCTGGCTCAGGAATTCTGGGAGTTGAAGTCCACCAGTCCTAAAAGAGCCAAGTTGCTTACCCCTGTCCTAAGTCCTCCTGTTCTAAGCGGTGAGCCTCCTAGACCAGGGGTAGGTAACCTTGGCTCTTTCATGACTGGTGGACTTCAACTCCCAGAATTCCTGAGCCAGCATGAGGGAACTATGGCCCCCTCATGACTTGCGGACTTCAACTCCCAGAATTCCTGAGCCAGCCTGGCTCAGCTTGGAAACCTCTCCCTTTCCCTTCAGCACGGCTGGCTCAGGAATTCTGGGAGTTGAAGTCCACCAGTCATAAAAGAGCCAAGGTTGCCTACCCCGGTATAAAACAATGGGGTGTCAAATTGCCAACCCGCGGGCCGAATGCATCACAGTGAAACCACGCGCCCACCCCATTGCCAGCAATGGAAAAAAAAGTCACGCTACGCCGCAACACGTCATGTGATGTTGCGAGTTTGACATCCCTGGTATAGAGTTTCTTGCTTCCAAAGGTGCTTTTTTTTTTCTAGGAGGCCACTGGATTTTTTTATTTGTCTCAGAAGACGTTTCGCTTCTCACCCCAGAAGCTTCCTCAGCTCTGACTGGATGGTGGGGAATGGGAGGATTTATATTCTTTGCAGACCACTGGTGGTTTACATTCTTTGAGAGGGTCGTTGAGGCCACCTGGAGGTTTATCTGTGTCTTCAGGGTCACCTGAGTGGTGCAAATGGGTGTGGAGCCTTCTTGGCTACAGGATGTCTTCTGCTCTCGGTCCCTTCACTGTTGAAGTGACCCCTTCAAGGTTCTGTTCTGTTCTATTCTATTCCTTATTCTATTCTATTCTATTCCATTCCATTCCATATTTTCTATTCTGTTCTATTCTATTCTATGCTCTATTTTCTATTCTGTTCCATTCCATATTTTCTATTCTATTCTACTCCATTCCCTTATTCTATTCTATTCTATTCCATTTTCTATTCTATTCCATTCCATATTTTCTATTCTATTCTATTCTATTCTATTCTATATTCTCTATTTTCTATTCCATTCCATATTTTCTATTCTTTCTTATTCTATTCTATTCTACTCTATTCTATTCCATTTTCTATTCTATTCCATATTTTCTATTCTATTCTATTCTATGCTCTATTTTCTATTCTGTTCCATTCCATATTTTCTATTCTATTCTATTCTACTCCATTCCCTTATTCTATTCTATTCCATTTTCTATTCTATTCCATTCCATATTTTCTATTCTATTCTATTCTATTCTATATTCTCTATTTTCTATTCCATTCCATATTTTCTATTCTTTCTTATTCTATTCTACTCTATTCTATTCCATTTTCTATTCTATTCCATATTTTCTATTCTATTCTCTATTTTCTATTCTGTTCCATTCCATATTTTCTATTCTATTCTATTCTATTCTATTCCCTATTTTCTCTTCTATTCCATTCCATATTTTCTTTTCTATTCTACTCTATTCTCTATTCTATTCCATATTTTCTATTCTGTTCTATTCTATTCTATTCCATATTTTCTATTCTTTCTTATTCTATTCTATTCTATTCCATTTTCTATTCCATTCCATATTTTCTATTCTATTCTATTCCACATTTTCTCTTCTCTTCTATTCCATTCCATATTTTCTATTCTGTTCTGTTCTATCCTATTCTATTCTATTCTAGCCTAGCCTATTATTTCTATTTCTATTCTCTGCTGTTTTTCGACAGGCAGGTGCTTCCCCTGTCAACCGTGACGGTGCTGGATGATCACATCAGCCACTACCCTCAGCTGGAGGACCCTCAGGGTTTCCTGAATGCCTACTTAAACTTCATCAATTCCTTCTGAGACCACAAAGAAGACGGACAGAAATCCTGCCTCTTTTCTTCTTAGGACAATTTTGTACTCTGGAGCAATAGGAGAGGCGTGGGAAGAGCTGATGAAAACTCCGGACAGCAGTCGAACCAACCTTTCGAAGCAATCTCTCATCTGGGCGAGTAAACTCAACAGAATCCAGCTGATGGATTGGTGGAGATAGGGGTGGCGGCGGCCTGAAGCCGTTTGCAGGGAGTCTGCCTTTCCCTCTACCCCCCCCCCCCAAAAAAAATCCTGACTCTGGAGGATGCAGGGAGAGAGAAGACCAGGTGAATAAGCAAGCAGAAATGAAGAAGAGGCCAGCAGGATCAAGTTGATAAAGTACTTAACAATAGTTCATTTAGTGACCGTTCCAAGTTACAACGGCACTGAAGTGACTTATGACCTTTTTTCACATTAAGGCAGTGTAGGTCGTCCTCGACTTAACGGCCACAATTGAGGCCAACATTCCTGTTGCTAAGTGAGACGTTTGTAAAGTTGAATTCTGCCCCGTTTTACGACCTTAGCACCGTTAAGTGAATCACTTGTAGACCTTTAATTAGTCACACCGTTGTTAAGTGAATCACTTGTAGACCTTTCATTAGCCAGTGAATATGGCTTCCCCATTGACTTTGCTTGTCGGAAGGTCCACAAAAGGGGATTGACGTGGCCTCGGGACACTGCGACCCGTCATAAGTGTGAGTCAGTTGCCGAGCATCTGAAGTTTGATCATGGGGAGAATGGAATGGACGTTAAGGGTGGGAAAACGGTCATAAAGTCATTTTCCTGTGCCACTGTTAACTCTGAACGGTCAGTAAATGAACTGCTGTAAGTTGACAGGACTACCTGTACGGCATCCTTGATGAGCTGCTTTGTCATCTGTTTGTTTCGTCTCCTTTTCAGTCCATTTAAATTGTAAATTTTGGGGCCCAGCTATGCGTTACATAAAAGACTTTTTATTACTCCCCCGGATCCTGGCATTTGCTTCCTATTTGTAACCTTGGATTGTTAAGAGTAAGAATGAATTATTTCCCATGCCGCCTTTCTTTAAATGCCTCAATATCAGGTAGTCCTCGGTTTACGACCACCATCGAGCCTGATGTTCCTGTTGCTAAATGAGACATTTCTTAAGTGAGTTTTTGCCCCATTTTACGACCTTATCCGCTGAGTTAGTCATACGGTCGTTGATTGTGGCTTCCCCTGTTGACTTTGCTTGTTAGAAGGTCGCAAACGGGGAAATCACGTGACTCCTGGGGACACTGCAACTGTCATAAATATGAGTCCATCGCTGAGTGGCTGAGTTTTGATCACATGACCACGAGGACGCTGCAATGGTGGGAAAAACGGTCGTAAGCCCCTTTTTTTTCAGTACCGTTGTAACTTAACGGTCACTAAACGAATTGTCGTAAGTCAAGGATTACTTGCTAAGCTAAAACAGCCTAAGGTCTCTCGTCATGGTGGAGAACGCGGCTTTTGATCCATCATTTAGTTAAGTTTGAGAGGTCTGGACTTCAATTCCCAGAATCCCCCAGCCAGCTATGGGAATCGGAAGCCCAGACCTTTTAAAGTTGAGAGACGCCGATATACCAAAGGCGTTTTATTATTCAGACCCCTGGAAAAACATCTGGAAGTGCTGAAATAGCCCATTTATTGGTGGCCAATAAAAAATCCATTTTGGGAACCGCTCTTTTTTTAAAAAAAAAAAAGAAAAAAAAGACCCCTCCTCCCCCCCCCTTTTTTTTTAATCTCACTGGCGGCACGGAGGCAATAATTTATAACCAGAAATGAAGATGGGGCAGAGTTTTCCCTGGCCTCGGGGAGAAAAACGCATAAAAAATGCCCCAAATCCCTTGAGATACGAATCACCATCGAAGGGAATCAGCGAGCGAGCGAACGAACTCAATGCACCGCCGCGGATCCAGGTTGCGCCTTGCCGAACGGGAGCGGATTCGGGGTGGGGCCGCCTCGGGATCGGATGGGTTACGACGGTTAGCCGACGGAAGCCAAGATGACGTCCACGGGGGTTTCTATGATGCTCCGGACGGTCACCTGCATGGTCACGCCGTCGCCAAGAGCGAGTCGGGCTCTGAGCAGGACATCTAAGCCACCTCTGAACATACCTGGAGATCAAACGGCGGGGAAGGGGGGAGCAAATGAGAGAAGGTACGCCAGATTTCAAGAATCCAGAAGCAATGAGACGGTGCTGTCTTAGGGCCTTCCGTGGTCTTCCCAAAGCCATCAATCAATCGTCAACCCATCAGTCGGCCGCAGAGTGTAGTGGCGAAGGTGCAAGTCGAAAAACCAGGAGACGGCGAGTTCTAATTCTGCCTTAGGTGTGAAAGCCGGCTGAGTGAGGTTTCTGCCAATCGCCAGGAGATCTAGTGAGGAGTGCTAGTTCCTCCTTGGGATAAAAAGCCAGCTGGGTGACTGAGCCAACCACTGGGAGACGGTGAGTTCTAGTCCCACTTTAGGCATGAAAGCCCTTTGAGTCACCAGGAGATGGAGAGTTCTAATCCCACCTCACAGGGTTGTAGTTACGGGAAAAAGGAGTAGGAGGAAGAAGTAATGTGTGTGTGTGTGTGAGAGAGAGAAGAGACTTTCAGGGGGAACCTGGCCGAGAGAGAGAGAGAGAGAGAGAGAGAGTGTGAGAGAGAGAGAGTGTGTGTGAGAGAGAGTGTGTGTGTGTGTGTGTGTGTGAGAGAGAGAGTGTGTGTGTGTGTGTGAGAGAGAGTGTGTGTGTGTGAGAGAGAGAGTGTGTGTGTGTGTGAGAGAGAGAAAGAGGGAGAGAGAGAAAAGGAGGAGACTTTCAGGGGGAACCTGGCCGAGTGAGTGAGTGTGTGTGTGTGTGTGTGTGAGAGAGAGAGAGAGAGAGAGTGTGTGTGTGTGTGTGAGAGAGAGAGAGAGAGGGGGGGGGAGAGAGAGAGAAAAGGAGGAGACTTTCAGGGGGAACCTGGCCGAGAGAGTGAGTGTGTGTGTGTGTGTGTGTGTGAGAGAGAGAGAGAGAGAGAGAGAGAGTGTGTGAGAGAGAGAGAGAGGGAGAGAGAGAGAGAAAAGGAGGAGACTTTCAGGGGGAAGCTGGCCGTAGCTGCAGGGAGCTACAGTATCCTGAACCCCCCAATTTCCGGACGGGCTCTTACCTGCCAGGTAGAGGGTGTGGGAATTCTTGTTCTCGGGCACTTTATCCGATCTCTCGCAAGGCTGCATGCCAAGGAACTTCACAATGTTGTTTACAGCTTCTAGATTGGGGCGGAAGGGTTCAAAAAGAGAGGAGGTCGGTCCTTCCACTGGTCCAGAGTTCAAGACACGGGAATTCAGAGGTTTTGGAGAGCTTACCAAGCAGCCCCTGACAAGCAAAGCGGGGGGGTCCATTGTATTGGCTCGGGAAGACACCTCTTTTTCCTTGCCATGAGCTGCAAAGAACACCTTGGACTTCCTTTAGAACAGTGGTTCTCAACCTTTTTAATGCCGCGACCTCCAACCGGTCGTAAGTCGAGGACTACTCAACCGGCCGTAAGTCGAGGACTACTCAACTGGTGCAGCACTGTTTGCAGAATGGGACTTTTGGCGGGCTCAGCAGGGTAGAGACAGCCTGGACAATTCCTATCGGCTTTGGAAAGCCAATAGAATTAGACTCTATTCAAGAGAGTCTATTCTATTGGCTTTCAAAAGCCAATAGAATAAAAGGGAGGAGCACAGCTAAGGAAAAGGGGGAAAAAATGGCGGACTGCGTTGTTTGGCGACCCCCCTGAAATGGTCGTTCGACCCCAAATGGGGTCCCGACCCACAGGTTGAGAACCGCTGCTTTAGAACAGGATAGCGGAGTCGGGAAGGGACCTTGGAGGTCATCTAGTCCAACCCCCTGCTCAAAGAGGAGAGCTTATATCATTTCAGACAAGTGGCTGTCCAGTCTCTACTTAAAACACTTCCAGGGATGGAGCACACACAACTTCTGGAGGCAAAGCTGTTCCACTGCTTAATTGTCCTCCCTGTCAGGAAATTTCTTCTTAGTTCTAGGCTGCTTTTCTTCTTTAATCAATTCATAAACTTTGAACAATCACTAAGCAAGCAGTCGTACGTCGAGGACGACAGGTTGACCGTTTCAACGTTTACTTATTTATTAAATTTATTGGCCGCCCATCTCGTTTCAAATTGACTCTGGGTGGCTTGTGGCATAAAAAATAATCAAATATAAATATAAACCCAATCAAGACATCAAAGAGCCCCCTCCCCCCCAGAGGTACATAATCAACCCAGATTTGAAGTTCCATCGTCTGGTCCCCATGAGTGCATGGAGTCCCAGAATTCCTCAGCCGGCATGCTTTAAGATGCGAGGATTTCAACTCCCAGAATTCCTCAGCCGGCATGCTTTAAGGTGGGAGGACTTCAACTCCCAGAATTCCTCAGCCGGCATGCTTTAAGATGGGAGGACTTCAACTCCCAGAATTCCTCAGCTGGCATGCTTTAAGATGCGAGGATTTCCACTCCCAGAATTCCCCAGCCGGCCTGCTTTAAGATGGGAGATTTCAACTCCCAGAATTCCCCAGCCGGCCTGCTTTAAGATGCGAGGACTTCCACTCCCAGAATTCCTCAGCCGGCCTGCTTTAAGATGGGTGGACTTCAACTCCCAGAATTCCTCAGCCGGCATGCGATAAGATGGGTGGACTTCCACTCCCAGAATTCCTCAGCCGGCATGCGATAAGATGGGTGGACTTCAACTCCCAGAATTCCTCAGCCGGCCTGCTTTAAGATGCGAGGACTTCCACTCCCAGAATTCCTCAGCCGGCATGCGATAAGATGGGTGAACTTCCACTCCCAGAATTCCCTAGCCGGCCTGCTTTAAGATGCGAGGACTTCCACTCCCAGAATTCCTCAGCCAGCCTGCTTTAAGATGGGAGGACTTCAACTCCCAGAATTCCCCAGCCGGCCTGCTTTAAGATGGGTGGACTTCCACTCCCAGAATTCCTCAGCCAGCCTGCTTTAAGATGGGAGGACTTCAACTCCCAGAATTCCTCAGCCGGCCTGCTTTAAGATGGGTGGACTTCCACTCCCAGAATTCCTCAGCCGGCATGCGATAAGATGGGTGGACTTCCACTCCCAGAATTCCCCAGCTGGCCTGCTTTAAGATGGGTGAACTTCCACTCCCAGAATTCCCCAGCCGGCCTGCTTTAAGATGCGAGGACTTCCACTCCCAGAATTCCCCAGCCGGCCTGCTTTAAGATGGGAGGACTTCAACTCCCAGAATTCCCCAGCCGGCCTGCTTTAAGATGGGTGGACTTCAACTCCCAGAATTCCTCAGCCGGCCTGCTTTAAGATGCGAGAACTTCCACTCCCAGAATTCCCCAGCCGGCCTGCTTTAAGATGCGAGGACTTCAACTCCCAGAATTCCCTAGCTTTAAGGCTGCTCTCCAAGACAACCAAGAATCTTGCCGTGTTTTTAAAGATGGTTGAAAGTGCCCATTTGGCTGGAGGGGGGG